TGAATGTGGGAAAGCCGCAAATAAAAAAATACTATTCATTTTACTTAAGAGAACACCTCTCTGTGAATTGCCAGGTCCTCCAGTGCAACTCTATGGTCAACATCTGCCAGAGGCTGATCATAGAATAATGCTGGAGGACCTACAAATGCCTAGAAAAGTGTTTTCTCTAGGAAGGTCTAGGTTCTCCAGCAAACCTCCCCTGAGTTTCCATGGCCCAGCAGGGATTCGAACCCAGACCTCCAGAGTCATAGTCCAATATTCAAACCATTACACCACACTGGCCCGTATTACAGTGTTAGTAATTTTGTAGCAGAAAAAAATACTGGCATTTTTAGACACACTCATTCTTAATTTAAACTATAGCCCTGCAACTGAGGGTCAACATGGATGGTTCCTGCATGCACAAGAACAGACAAAACCCAGATGTATTGGGCCAACCAAAATGCATGTTCCTGCATGTGTTTACTGAGCCAGTGTGGCACAGTGGTTTGAGCGTTGGACTAGGCTCTGGAGATCAGGGTTCGAATCCCTGCTGGGCTATGGAAACCTAGGAGGTGACCTTGGGTGAGTCACACTCTCTCAGCCCCAGAAAACCCCTTGACTTTAGGGTCACCATAACTCAGAAACAACTTGAAGGCACACAACAACAGGATTCATAGTTTTGGGAGGCATCAGCCCGCTTTGGCATCAAAGGCCATAAAGACCTCAGAAAACTACAACTCCCTTCATTACATAGGATAGAGCTGCTGGTGTCAAACTGCATCATCCCTATAATGTAGATGCACCCTACACTCTAGAAATATTGCAGTTTTACACTCCTTTAACTGCTATGGCTCTATCCTAGAGAATATTGGGATTTGTAGTTTTATGGGGCACTAACCCTCCTTGGCAGAAGAGAGCTAACAGCATTATAAAATCAGAATCCCAGGAGTCCTTAGGATGGAGCAACACCACTTAAAAGTGGTGTCAAACTGCATTAGTTCTACAGTGTAGATATAACCCAAAACTGTGGCAATAATGTAGTTTGACACCATTTTAACTGCCATGACTCCAATCTACAGATTGCTAGGATCTGTAATTTTGTGAGGCATCAGCACTCTTTGAAATAGAAGGCTCTGAAGACCTTGCAAAACTACAAATCCCAGGATTCCATAGGATGGAGCTACAGCACTTAAAAGTGGTATCAAACTGCATTATTTCTACAGTGTTAACCATAACCTGAAATTATAGAAATAAATTTAACTGCCTTGGCTCCATGTCCTGCAGTGTGTATTTGTGAGGCTCTCTTAGGCAGAGAAGGCTAAAGGGTTTGAAAAAACTACAAATCCCAGGGTCCAGCCTTATGCCTACAGTGTAGATGCATAACAATACAATTTGATACTGCCATCCTACAGCATCCTTGGCTTTGTAGCTTTCTGAGGCACCATCCCTCTTAGACAGAGAAGGTGAAGGACCTTGTGAAAACTACAAACCCTAGGATTCCTTTGGATTGACCTACAGCACTTAAATGTGGTGTCAAACTACATTATTTCTACAGTGTTG